TTAACTTAGAATGTAAGTATAAGTAAGTATGATATGGTATGTATAACTGTTGTTGTGTATTTTATCCAGGTTGTTTTTTTTGGTGAAAAGCACGTTAGCTTTCCCCCTACAAAACAACTTATAAAGAGGGGAGGTGTTACATACAGCACTGATGTTACCTGTCTGTCATGGGTTTGGAGGGAAAGTTCCATCCTATGGGGAGTGGAAGGCGGGACATCAGGAGGAGGGGCTGTACTGTATAAATATGTGAAGCGTGTGTGGAGAGTTTATGAGATGCTGAGAGACACTGGGTTGTGACGAAGCAGCAGCTGGGAAGAAGCAGCTGTTGTGGGAGTCTGTGTGTCAGACAGGGTACTACTGTGTGTCAGAGTACCAACCTGATAGGTTCAGGTGTCTGTTGGTTAGCCAGAACTGATAGGTTCAGGGTCTGTGCTTTAAGTTAAGGTTCTGTGTGAACCAAACTGTGTGTATGTATGAGTGAAACTAAGCCACGTTACTTTGTCTTATTCACCTGATTGTTTTATTTACCCTGTTTGTATTTAAATAAACCTTATTCTTTTTATTGTTTAAAAATCCATCCCTGGTCTGTGTGACTTCTTACAGGGAATGGTTGGTGGCAGCTTAGTGTAACTGTGTGGCAGATCTCAGTAGGTCTGGGTTTGTCACAGGCTTATTGATGCAAAACCTTATAGCAATCTCAGACAATGCTAGAGTTACTACCAACTTTGACTCAACTGACACTGTCAGAACAAAAATGCAAGAATCAATGTGATTTTCAGACCCTACTGGTGTTTGAATAAGATATTAAGTAACTTGCTGGAGTTAACTGTGGTTGAGAAGGTTCCAGAGTGCACCTTAGTTGCATAACTGGGTCACATGTTCAGGCACATCCTTGGCACTTTTTCAATTAGCTGCAGCAGATTATGAAAAACCTTTTGTCAACACCAACAGGATTCTGGTCTATAGTGGAAAAAATGTTCGTTCTGTGCAAGTGATACCTTTGAACAATCAATAGTTCGTTCTATAGTTATTTCTAGCTTATGTTATTTGGTAGATTGTAATGTTTTAGTTGATTATTTGTATTTTTAAAAAAGATTAGACTAATGGAATTCTTTACGTACAGTGAGACCACAAACACGTGTATGTGACACCAAATTTTTCAAGCAAAGCCCAGTATTTACTAGCTACAGGTGATTACAAGAGGATTTTCATTTAACGTAATTACATAATTTAACACACACACACAAAAGATATACATGGATATTTTGGGTTATGCTGATCTTTATTTCAACAATTTGTCAAATTAAAGCTAAATATGGTGTCATGGGCATGGAATTTTTTCAAAATGATGGGGAGGTTCTCTAAGGGAAGTAAGCTAGGTGATGGTAGAGGGCTCAACGTCCTTCACTAGCATATCAACCTTCTTCATTAGCATACCATTTTCAGGTTTAACTGTATGCTGCCCACACATACCTTATTTACTGTATTTACATGCACAGGTCTGCCACAGTCATCTGCAGCATGGCATTATATTGAGTTGCAATTCAAAGATGTTATTTAGACACATTAGCAGAAACTGTATACATTAGCAGGTGCTTCCTTGGAAGTCTTTTTATTTCAGTAATACAAACCCCAAGTAGTTTTCCCTTTCACTCTATGAGCTGATATATTAAAAGCTTAAAAATCAGAGGTACACAAATTTTCTCAGCAAACATGTTTTCTAATAAGTATTTCTACTTATTACTTATTCCCTTCTCCAAGTCTTCCGGCATTCTTGTGGATGAGTCAGAGGTTTCTTTCATTTCTATTTTTGTGTTCAAAACATAAAAACGAGCAAATCCTGCTACTTCTTACTTTTAAAAAATCTCGACACAAATATATCTCTGTTTAATCCTCCGGGATATGCAATGAGTTGTGAAAAGAGCCAAAGTTTACTTTCAGTTGCTCTAAGGTAAAGGACAGCATGCAAAGACCCCTGCTATATCTTAACAACAGTGGCAAATGAGCATCCTAGGGACAGAACATGCTGATAAGTGCCCAACTTATCAGAGGGCCAGAACCATTTGCTACCAGATTTGTAGGTAGCTAGCTGCTCAAAGTTACCCTAATTCATTATGGTTAGTATACCAAGCAACAGATCATGACATTAAGCATTAGATTAGGCTTTCTAACATACAACAATAATTTCCACAACTTCGAAACTGAATAAAATTTCCATATTTTGCCTCTGAAGCATCATTGCTAGATATATCAAGTCAATTATAAAGAAATTCATTTGAATTAAGTCTTATTTTTACTTTAAAAAAACACAGAAGGGAGCATGCAAAAACCACAATTCACCCTAATTTACAGAAGCAGAACTAATCCACCTATTCCCATTAACACTCTGCATACTTTGTTTAATTACTTGGAAGCAAGAGTGGTTGTTAAAACATCTGCTTTCTACACTATTAACAATTTCTCTTGGGGCTATTTATTTAAAAAGAAACAAAACAAACATCAACCATTGTAAAATGCAAATAAAACTAAATTTTCAACAGACTGGCAATGCTGAGAAATAATTAGGTTGCACAGTAAGCCTTCATATTTATCATAATTGTTCAACTGATTCTGGGCCACATCCAGTTCTACTTTAGTTACCTAAATTTTCCATGATTACAAGAAGTAAAGTTTGAATTTATCTAGATTTTTTACTTTCATTTGAAAACTATCAGTCATATTCATCAATGCAACATTTATTTAGGAAAAAAAACTTTGTGGAGGGAGATGTTTTAGTATTTTTAGCAGTCTACTATTTGTTGGAGACTGGCAATAAATAGGAATTTTTGAAATGTTTCTGGAAGAAAAACAACCAACTACAAATTTCCCAATAACAAGGTCCTGCTGATACATAATATTGTCTCCTCACAAGCCAGATTTTGTATTTCAGAAGTCAGCCACTGAGAAAATAATCACTCTCCTCTTCTTTCTGGTATAGAAGTCCCTCTCTGTTCTTTTGCTAATCCTAAACATGACCCAACAGTAGTCAGCTTTGGCAGCAGCCCTATTTGCCACTATCCAGCTTAATCAAGATTCAAAACATTAATTTGAATGAAGCTTACACAAAGATCAGCAAGAGGAGCAATTGTAGCTTACAAAAGAACAATTTAATTTAATAAATGAAGAAAAAGTGGGGCTGACATGAAATCTGCAAAGAGAGGGAGAAGTATTCTTCTCCTTGCCCCTTCTCCTTCTGTCAACTTACTGGAACTTTTCAGAGCAACTAGTAGCATGTCTTTTCAATGCAGGTAATGTACCATATTTTTCCATGTATAAGACTATACTTCTGTCTAAAATCTTTAGACTAAAATTTGAGGGTCCTCTTATACATGGAAGTAAGCTGAAGAGGAAAAAAACAAGTGGAGGAGAGAGATCAAAGTGATCCTGCAGGGCTTTCCCCTCCACTTGCTAAGCCTTAGCAAAAGGAAAGCAGGGATGAAAGTGCTGCAGGATCGCTTTGATCCCTGCTTTCCCCTCTGCTTGCTATGTCCCATGAGGCTTAGCAAAAGGAGGGGTGAAGGATCAAAGCAATCCTGTGGCTGTATAAGGGGGAAAGGGATCAAAATGATTGTGCAGTCATGGAATTGCTTTGATCCCGTTCCCCCTCCTTTTGCTAAGCCATGCGGGGCTTAGAACAAAGGGAAAAAGCAGGGATCAAAGCCATCCTGCAGCACTTTGATCCTTTTTACCCTACATTTGCTAAGCCCCACTTACATTTCTTAATTTTGGGTTAGAAAAGTGGGGGGCATCTTATGCATGGGGGCATCTTATACACGGAAAAATACAGTACCCTCTAATTTTCAGCCCTACTGGGTAGAGCTCTGCCTCTCTTTAGTGCGACTTCACCCCTGAACATGTGTGACTCCCCCCCATGGACGTAGGGTTCCATCACAACTGGAACCAAAGGAGTTGAAAACAATGGCTGTGTGGAGGAGGAGGAAAGCCGCACAGAAGGAGGTAGAGGCATGCGTGCCTTAGAGCAGAGGTCCCCAATCCCCTGTCCGCACCCCAGTGCTGGTCCGTGGCCTGAACCCGGCTGGGCCACAAAGACAGACCTCCCACCCCACCCCCACACGCACTCACCGCCACAAAGGCTGTTTGCAAACTGCAGCCGTGCCATTTGCATATACGCACGAGCGCGTACGCCTGCACAAGCACCGTGCCGCTGTTCGCACATGCGCGCGAGCGCAGGGGTGCCCTGCCTTCCCCAGCCGGTCCGCGGACCAAAAACAGTTGGGGACCACTGCTTTAGAGGAAACTTTGAATGCAGGCAAGTTCCCCACTAGTAATTGCTTTCAATGCAGTCAAAGGGAACAATAACCTGAAGAATAACTATTTTAAAAACCTATCAGTTTAAGCGTAGAGTTAAAGCTATTTCATGTTGCTCCAGATCCACAAACATAGTAAACATTGCACAAATGTCACACTTCATGCTTATATATATAACGTAACCCCACACAATCACACTTAGTCTTTCAAGCCCAAATCTAAATGGCAAGAATAGATGCTTGGTACCAGCAAAAATGCTCCACTGTGTTTGCCCTTCTACTGCCTAATGAAGGACCTGAACCTAACTCCATTGCTAGAGGAATCCTACTGTGAGTTAACTTGATCTCACGGTAAAATAATTTTTGAACTCCTGAGCTTAACTATACATGGTAGACCTGGCATCAGTGTTGAAATCCTCCTAAAACCAAAGACCTATGTCTCCAACATCATCAATGTGACTTCCTCTGTTACTTCAGGGAGGAAGATTGTTAGACAGCAGAATGGACATCTAACTGAACTCACATTACAACCCAGAACAAGGTACAAACACCTCAAACTGACCAACAGACAGACAGGATACCTCACTGGGGAAATGTAATATATTAACAATAAAAATCACATACACCATGAAAAACTGTTATATTACATGAGAAAATTATATACCTGCACCAGGAATGATTGCTAATTTTGTTTCAACTAGACCCATCTTTGCAGAAGTAGCTAAAAAGAAAGAAAGGAACAAGTTAAGTCTTGTAAAATCGATTTTAACAAAATAAACAGGAACTTGTGTAAAAGTTCTGAATGCAATGAACTCATTTAAGACAACTGCAAAAGTCTTGTAGGAATAGTGGGATAAATATTATTCTTATACACATATTTTTGTTTCATTATCTGACATTATGATCGGAGTTTATAAGATAGGGTCCCCAAGAAGAAACCCCAAGTGTCACACAACAAGACACTGAAAACAGGAATGCAATTTAATTATTACATTTATAGTCTGCCCTACTGTACAGGCTAAAGGCCAGGTTTGGTGGCTGGTTAGCTTAAGGAGCTAGGCTGTGGAACTAGAGGTGAGGAATTCAATTCTCAGTTGTGTCTCTCAGGAGAAAAGACAGCCCATATAGCCCTGGGCAAACTGCACAATTCCAAAACACTTCAAGGAGGGAACAATAAACTACTCTGAGTACTCTATAATTTGAAAATTCAGGAAAGGGTAATCAGATATCAGAATCCACAGCACATGGTAATAATTATTAAAGAACACCACGTTCAGACAATTTCATTGGAACATGTATCAGTAATGCTTAGCAAACATAAAATTCAAATTATTAAATTGTGTTATGTAGGTTTTGTTCAGCCAAAACAAAACATGAGCTAACGTATGCCAATTCCTTTCCTTTCCCTTGTTTTCTTTACCTATTAATCTTTTTCTTACATATATGTCCTGTGAACCCATTTTTTTCCTCAAGCTCCTTTTACTCAAGAATGCAAAACGGATGCAAAAAGACCCCTCCGCATCTTCCAACAAAGGTCTAATAAACATGATATATATGACCCCTAAACTTATGCCTGCAATGGGATGAGCAACAATTATCAGTGGTGGCTACAAAAGATGAGGGAGTGGCTCATTGTGAGGAAACAGACTCTAGTAGAGCAGAAACAGGTGACAATGATTCTGCTCACTACTTGCCTTCTTTTTCCTTTTCTCCAGAATCACTAAGCAACACCAGAAGAACTCAGTGCCTTCTGTATGAAAAACAGCTGCCTGGAAAAAGTTTTTTTCAATCAGTTAGCCTTTTCTTATCAGACTAATTTGTGAATATAGTGCTTGAAGTGGATTTATTTATTTCCCATTTTCTTCCTAAAGCTGGCAATGAGTTGCCAATGAAAAGCTGCAACTTATAGAAAGGTGTTGTTGTTGTTGTTTAGTCGTTTAATCGTGTCCAACTCTTTGTGACCCCATGGACCAGAGCACGCCAGGCCCTCCTGTCTTCCACTGCCTCCCAGAGTTGGGTCAAACTGAGATGGCCAAGGTATTGGAGACTCAGCTTCAGGATCTGTCCTTCCAGTGAGCACTC